AATCGTGCACCGCAATATGATTGGCTAAAAGTCTCGCGAGCTTTATAACGTTGGAAGTTAGTCCCACGTGGGATTTAGTCATCTCCTTCCAGAATTTCAGCGGCCCCGCTGCAATCACAGACCGCACCCGCCGTCCACGACGTCACCCCGAGCGCGACAGCCACCGAGCGGTACGACCCAGCGACTTTCGATCTGTACTCATGTATGCAGCGTCTTCCTGCTCAAGAGACTTTTAACCAACCATGTCGCGATGGACGACTTGGAATAAAAATACCTCAGGAGCTTTCAACTTGGACGATCGTGAGAAATATTTCCACTTGTTGGACAATCTTGAAAAATCCCCTTTCTGACCTGTTTAGAAAATTCGGTAGAGAAATATCTGTTCAAATAATAGCAAATTTACTGTTAGTCGATATTTTTTCATGCTCGAAGAAGCATCGAGAATTGCACAACTAAGTTATCGTTAAATAGTGTGAGTGTTCTCACGAGAAAACCACCATGGCGTATCACGGGAATGCAAAAATGGCGATGGCGGCGACGGCCGGCGTGACGCACGAGCACGAGTTGGAAGAGCTACGAGTGGGAGTGTCAGAGCTTGCCGAGTGTGTTGCATGTCTCCTGCACACGATACTCTTCACTCGAGCTCCCGGGCCAGTGCGGCCCGCCGAAGCACACTGCCGTTTTCGGCCCATCACATATGCGTACTGCCCAGTGGCCGAAGTCACGCGCAAGGTGGACGCTGCGATCGCGCAATTCCAACGACACATGACACGTCATCACGCGGGCAGAGGCCACCGCATCACAGTCGTGTTCTTTGAGACGCGGGTGAACAAGGCGCTGTTCGGATTCGTCCAGAACGAAGAAAAAGTCGTGTGGGAGAAGTGGACGTTGCCAATTCGAGTCCTCGTCCATCCGAGCGCCAACCCCGACGAGTACCACATGCAGCTCGAGAGTCAATTGCGCCACGGGATGCTTCAGATCGTCTCCACGGTTCAAACTGACACCCAGCACATCCCCCTTGGCATTTACGACTGCGAACTCCTCGTGAACGACGACGTGCTGTAATCGACAACCCCTTTATTGCAGCGTTCATTTCGACCAATACCTCATTGTCGTGCCGCCACTCTGCCAAATTCAGTGCACCATCGAAACCCGAACCTGCCAGTCGGGCTTCACCCTGGCTCCGTGGGTTCGATACTTCCATGTCGGTCGAGAAGCCGCGCCACAGTCAGCCCGCATGTGTGTTCCAGAGGTGGCGTCGCGCGTTCGCCCATAGCCGTGCGCAGCTACCAGAAACGGTAAGGCAACCAGAACGCAAACGTTGCCAACGCAATACAGCGCCGCCGCCATCAAATCGCAAGGTCACCCGCACACACGAAACCACTCGGAGTACGCATGCCACGGACGTATTTGATGACGAGGGGGTGGGAAGGCTGCACGGTGTGGACCTTGAGGCACGCCATTTCTGCGAGCTGCAGCGGGTTCATGTGTTTCTGTGGCCACGGTGAATTGAACATGACAGTGTCATGTTACGCACATTGCAATCGCTTTCCATGTTGGCTCCGTTGACCACCATGAGCCGTGTCAGCTTGATGTGGCCGTAAAACGCCGCGTAATGGAGGGGCGTGAACCCTTCCAGCTACGACATGCCATGAGCACTTTGGCACCAGGCAGCAAGCTCACCCGATCGTGCAAGTCCAAGGCCGCGCCTGCTTTGATTAGCATCTCGGCGACGTCGTCGCTGCCGTTGCAGCATGCCCAGTGGAGCGGTGTCCGCCCCAGCTACACGACAGCATGTCAATCGTCGCTGCAAAAATTGCCATCCATCCTCACATGATCCGTTTCGTCTGGGCATTGACCTTTCGCTAATGCCCACACCATGAACTCGACATTGTTGGATTTGGCTGCATCCAGACACAAGGCGAATGTGTTGGGCGGCTGGTTGTCGGTCGCATCTGTGGCATCGCACGCGACTTGGCCGGCGATGCGGGACGTTTGCTGTTTTGCTTTGAGCACTCTAAAGCAACTGGTGACGTGCGCGCCACGGCGTCAATGTGCCGTACCGGTGGGCACGGTGGGCGTCGTTGTGGTCCGTGGCGACCTGACTCCAAAATACGAGACCGGGAAGACACTATCGTGCGGCGATGGCGTTGCCGTCAGCTCACGTCCCAGAGTGAAGCAATCCACGCACCACAAGGACTAGACCAAAAAGGCTAACCGGAACGAGTCCCACGATGAGTGCCGCCTCTGGTCGAGGCGACGAGCTGAAACAATAGATGCAGAGGCACACGCCGCTAGGGAGCGCCACGCACACGAGTTGAATGATCCGGCTGCGGACGCAGCAAAGCGCACACACCACGACCTGCTCGACCCGCTCTTCGTTCGCTTCCAGGTCGGCAGCCTATTGGGTTACATCCGCACGGTTGACATGGCCACGGTCGGCTCGCACCTCCTGCGTCGACATGGCGGTGATGGCATCCAAAAATAGCTGTGCAATCGTCCCGACGGCACCCCAAGTCCATCCGCGCCGGTGAAATGTGCCCATACAGCAGCAGGCTGTAGCGCGGTCGGGCCACAAAACCAAGCACCCCCTCCGACCCCGAATCTTGGCACTGCTGTGGTGTCGGTCGATCAGCCCTCGCCTTGTGGCTGCGTTCGAGTCGATCATGCATGCGTCCTGTCGCAGCTACCAGAAGTTGGCAGTGAACCGGCTCAACTGCTATGACTATGGCTAGGCGGTCGTAGGCAGGAATGCAATAGCCGGCATCGCGCAACCGAACGGCTTGATCTGGTGGTGGTCGCGCCGACGTCAAAGCCCACGTCAGCGACTGTCCGTGAACTGCTGCAACCATCGTGAACACATGCGAGGAGTGTTATATAGTTACGACACGATCGGGTGGAAATGGCGCATTTCGTCCCAAATGAGTTGCTGGAGCCGCCGCTTCGTGAGTTCCTCCGACTCGAATTCAAAATCGAACGGGGCCGCTGCCACGGTCTCGTCGCCGACAGTGCGGATCGAGGCAAAGTACGGATGTGCGAGGGCATCGTCGACTTGGATGCGTTTGTGGGGGTCGAGTACGAGCATGCGCTCCAGGAGGTTCATGGCGTCTGGCGAGATGTCTGGGAAGAGTGCGGCAAGAGGTTTAAGCGGGGCTTGTCCCTACGCCGCATGAACAATCGGTCAACGCCACCGACAACAACGACCGACGGTACCCGCGTGTGGTACTCGGTGTTCATAAACTTGCGGGCCCGTGCATTTGTCACAAAGTAGAGCTCGTCGTCGGTCGGTACGCCCAGCGCGTTCATGATCAAGTGTAGCTGGTCAATGTAGTCCTGGCCAGGAAAGAGCGGCTTGCGGCTGAGCATTTCGGCAAAGATGCACCCCAAGCTCCACACGTCGACGGTCTTGGTATATTTCATGCACCCCAACATGATTTCGGGCGCGCGGTACCTATGACCTCGTTAGCCAAACACATTGGCATGCGCTCACCATCTCGTCACAACGTATTCGGTCAATTCCAAATTGTCGACGACGCCGCGGGCCAATCCAAAATCGCACACTTTCAGCTCGCAGTTGGCATTGACTAGGATGTTGGACGGCTTGAGGTCGCGATGAATCACGTTTGCGCTGTGGATGTACTTGAGTGCCTACGCATTTTATCGTGTCGGGACGACGCACGACGATTCCGCGCACCATGAGCATTTGGTACAGAAAGAAGCACACGTGCTCTTCGCTCAGCGGGTGCCTCGAATAGATGACGCGATGCAGGTCAGTCGCCATGCACTCGGACACAATGTACACGTCTTCAAATGTTGCTATCTCGACGGGCTCGATAATGTCCTCAATTCCTAGCAAGCATTTATGGCGAAAGTGCCGCATGAGCTTAATCTCCCTGCGCACGTAGATGGTGAGTGGAACGGCGGCGGCGCACGCAAGCCAACGCACCGGACAATGCGCTTGGCGTCGGTTAAGTCGTCAAAGGCGCGTTGGATGTTCTTGATAGCGACCTGCTTGCCACTCTTCTCGGCCGCGATGACCACGCCGTACGCCCCCGACCCAATTGTTTTCACATACGTATAGTCGACGGGGATGTCGAACTTTGTGTTGGACACGGTGAAGCATTGAAACCCGGGCCGCATCGACGGGAGAAACTTGGGCTTGTTTGCGTTGGCCGTGGCGGTTGCTTCGGCCTTCTTGGCCACGGTCTCCCGCTGCTTCTTTGCGGCCTCCTGCCGTGCAAGTGCTTCCGCAGCCTCGTCGTCCAAGCACTTCTTCCCGTACGACGTAACCTTGTTGGCCCCGTCAAACACCATCGCGTGATGCCACCGCACAGCTTCCTGCAACGCGTTCTTCCACTTGACAAAGTCCTGTTCGGATTCGATCTCAACTATCAAGCTCGACGTTCCGTGGCGTAGCTCGAGTCGGCGATGCCCCTCCACCGAAATATCGTACAGAGCGTGGCCCGGCCCGATGGGGGTCTCCGAGCACAACACCAAGTCTTCCTTCGACGTGTAGTACCCCAACGTCATGTGCTTTTCTTCAAGGCGCAAGATGAAGTACCGCTTAGTCAGCATGCGGAACCGAGACCCCTGCTTTAACATGTATCCTTCTTGGATCACATCTGCCGATCGAAACACGGGCGCGGGTTGGTTTCCTGGCGACGAAAACGCACCCTTCCCATGGAGC